GGGAAAGTCCGGACCCAAAACAGGAAACCGACTTTGCTGGTGTGGGGACGATGGGATCTGTAGTCCTCACTAGAGTTCCTCTATTTTTTTTAAATAAAGTGACACACACACACACACACACACACACACCCTAAATATTGAGGAGCAAAGATCCTCCTCCGGATCTGGACCCTTCCCACACAGAGGAGCAACCCTGGCCGAAAGAAGAAGAAACAACCAAACAAACACCCTCCCTCCGTAGTCCTCCCCGGGGTCCGACCCTGAGGGAGAAGGGAGGAGGGGCGCGGGCACCCTCACAGGGCCGAGCCCCCCACCCCCCGGCCCCGCGTACCCTGTACTCACATCGGCGCAGCCACTTCATCCAGTGGCGGACGATGGTGCCGTGGTGGCGCTTGTTCTCCAGGCACCACGACGACAGGCTCTGGATGGACTCCATGGTGTTGGTCACCGCCTGCAGCTTCCTGTCCAGGGACGCCTCCAAGGGCCCCAGAGAGGAGGAGGAGGACGAGGAGGAGGACGAGGAAGGGGCGGCCGCCGCCGTGGTGGTGGTGGTGGCGGCGGCGGCGGCGGAGGACGAAGACGAGGAGGAGGAGGAGGAAGAAGACGAAGAGGAGGAGGAGGAGGAGGCCTTGCCGCCGCCACTGCCGCCGGCCGCCATCTTCCCTCCCCTTCGGTCGCACAAGCAACGCCGCTCACGGGAGGAGGAGGGGGGAACGAGGGGGAGGAGGAGGAGGTCTGCCGGCAGGGGCGCATGCGCGGGGGGCTCGCGCTCGCCTCGCGCCTTCTCTCCCTCGGCGCGCAGGCGCGGTGGCGAAGCCGGGGAGGGAGGGAACCATTGGCCTCCAGCGCGCAGGCGCCAAAGCTCGAAAAGGCGAAGGCGCGGGAGGAAGAAGGTGGCTTCGTGGAGGGATCGCTGCCGAGGTGGCCAGATAAAAGAGGCGCGGGTGGGGTGGGGGGAGGAAAAGGCTGAAAAGAGCGCCTGGAAAGGCAGGAAGAGCCTCTGTCTCGAGCCACCCTCCTAAAAGAAAGAAAAGCTAAACC